TATCGAGACAAACATTTGAAAAACTGAAACTCAGACGCAATGGATTCTTCCAAGTTCGTTACGAGATGCACCGATCCAATCTCTTTCGAGATTACGACGATTCCTAAACATTCGATGTTTTTTTAGACCGTGATGATCTGTCCAAAATAATTCTCCTTTAGTCTCCACGGCATCACTAGTATAACCAAAATCAACGTCACTCTTACAAAAATTAGCACCAGATTATCCACTGAATTTCAATTTTCTTTCACGCCGTGCTTATAAGAGCTTGAAAATAAAAAAAAATAATGTTATATGTACCATTATATAATCCACTGATCCGTAGCAAAACATAGTTTCAAGTTCTTTCTAGATTACTCTACCCGCGATATTTCACGAAGTTTCACGTTGAAAATTGAGCAAAAACAAAACTTAATTACCAAGAAATTCACAAAGAGAATCTCATAATTTCACACAAATTATTCTGTTTAGACAGCGAAAAAAAGTCATAAATTCCCGGTACGTATGCCATTTGATGTTTTTAAATATTTGACATTTCATCGACTTCCGAGGCAATTAGTTATGCATTTAATTACACGTACGCATGCTAATTTCCGCGTGAGCAAATCACAGAGGGTAAAATGTTCATACTGTAGTTGCACGCGTTCCAGAGAAAGGTAGAGAATGTCGGTGAGTTTATGGGGTGAGGGGAGTGAGCATACAAGGGGTTAGGACACACTCGGGTAGTCTCCGGATGGTACGGCAGCCGCACGTAGCGTATAAGTTAGATATGCATGGCTTCTGAATATAGCCCGAGCGTTAATACGGGAATACTCCTGGGCAACCCCGTGGGCCATGGGTCGAGGAAACCCAAATGGAGATCCGATCAATTAGCCCCTCATGTATAGATATGCCAAATTTTTATTTTTTTCCTCATTTAAGTAGTTTTGAAGAAAATTGCGAGCTAATAAAAAACATTTGCTAGTTGGTACTTTTTTTTAAATAAATTTTTGAAAAATCACCCCTGAAAAAAAAGCGTTATCCCCCCTATTTCATTATTTCCAAAAAATTTTATCACCAACCGGTAGCAAATTCTTTGAAGATTTTTGCGAGTTGAGAAAAAATCGTCAATGCACTCCTATTATTGTGTAAATTAACAATTCCAATTTCAACTGAAAACCAGAGTTGATGACCAGAGTTTGTAA